TAGTGCATGAACAGAGTGCATCACTGATGATCTCTGTTTGCTTTGGTGAGGAAGAGATTTTAAGTGCATCTGCTGTGAGAGATGGAGGAGATGCTCACCGCTCAAGTTCACCTGAATGACCATAGATAAGCAACCCCTGAAGCAATATCAAACTGCGTGAATCATTGATCCATATCAATCTCTTTTTTTTATTTTTATTTTTATTTTTTGTGAACATACTGTACAGAGGGGTTACAATTACATGGGCAAGATAATGAGTACATTTCTTATCAAGCATTGCAGCCTCCTTTGTTTACCCTTCACATCCCTTCCCAGCCTCCCCCCGCAACCCCCCCCCACAGTCCCCCCACTCCCCCCCCCCCCCCCCCCCGCACCAAAGTTGTGAAGTTCATTTTTGACATGACAACTTGTACTTCTCATAGTTGCATCGGGTCCACCTGTATCCTTAAATGACTTGTTTTTCCTCATCTCCTCCACAAATTATACCGACATCAAATATAGTGAAAGCAGGGATTATACTGTGGGGGAGGGACATACAAAGCTACAAAGAAATAATCTTATAAATGAGTTAGAAACAAATGCATGAAAGAAAAAAAACATTTAAATACATATCTAAGGGTTCATTTTCTTAACATCACATTATCTGACCTTTCCTGCTTGACTCATACATATACTAGATATTGCAAATAAGGGAAACCATGGGACCTATGTTTCTTTGGGCTTGGCTTACTTCACTTAATATAATTTTTTCCAAGCCTTTCACAACAGATGCTGGAGGGGATGTGGACAAAAGGGAACCTTACTTCATTGTTGGTGGGAGTGTAAACTTGTTCAACCACTTTGAAAAGCAGTATGGAGGTTCCTGAAAAGACTTCACATAGACCTCCCCTATGACCCAGCAATCCCACTTTTGGGCATTTACCCAAATGTTTACAAACAAGACCACACTAAAGCTACCAGCACAACTATGTTTATTGCAGCATTATTTACTATAGCTAAGATATGGAACCAACCCAGATACCCCTCAGTAGATGAATGGATCAAGAAAACGTGGTATATATACACAATGGAATTCTATGCCTCCATCAGAAAAAAATGACATTTCCCCATTTGTTAGGAAATGGAAAGGCTCCAAATCAATCTCTTAAATCCTACTTCTCTATAAAAAATATAAACTTCTGTCAAACTACGCAACTTGAATTTCCTTCCATGCAAATGGCCTCTCACTAGTCATTTATGGCTGTATTTAAGTCCCAAAATATATTGGTTGGTAGCCATGGTTATTTTGAAGTGTTAGGACAGAGACAATGGAATGAAGTAATCATCTTTATATTTCTCTTTTTCATTTTGAGAGATAAATCCTCTAGGCAAATAAAAATAGGTGTTTATTTTTTTAATGACAAATCACAGACCCTAGCTTTCTGTATTTTAATAGTCCCTATTTCTCCATCTGGAGGTTAGAACTATTGATTTACAAATTAAATTCTTAAAATTCTTTCAGTACCTGTGTACTGTTATGAGAGATCCAAGTTCTAGTCAAGATAACAAACTGTTAGGTACTTTATTTGGCTTAAAGTATTGTGTCCATAGTGAGCAGAGGTTGTACAAAGTGCAGGAAGCCTGTGGCACGTTGTATAATGGGGATGTTGTATAAGACTTGTACATAAAACAGCATTATTCCAAGTAATTTCAATCTCCAGTAGTCTGCACTTTTGTCTGCAGGCTTGGAGATGGATATATGGTGTCCAAAGAGGTGTGTTTTCCCATCACAACTGACTTTCAGGTTTGCTTCAAGCAATGTGGTCACTCCTACCACCTCACCTTTGTTTAATGGAGAGCCTTTTCCTAAAGCCAACGTTGGGTTAATGGACTGAGTTGGGAGAAAAACCAACATAGCTCTGCTTTTTGTGCCAGATTGCCTTTCTGCCTTGTGGCTTTAATCACTCAATCCTACTCACATCTGCCATAATAACAATTATGGCTTTTCCACTGCCTTCACGCCCAGGAGGATAGAGCAACATCTTCGGAAGAAAGGCAGGGCAAATTCATAATCTGTTTCCAGCATTGTAGGTAATAATTTTCCTGTACAACTCCCCAAGGGATACTTCTTTTCCCCCACCATCCTCACAGGTTCTGCTCCATTCTGATTGATGAGGATTCTCCTACCCGTTCTCTTCTAAGTTTTAATTATACAGACAGATTGCAAAAGTCTCTTCTTGTAAACGACTATTCTGTTTTTAGTGGTAGATTTTATTTAATTGATGTCCTCCTATCTAAATCTTCTTACATGCCCAGGAATTATGTCTTTTCTTTGTTTAATTGCCCACATGAAAAGAAGAGAAAGCTGGCTCCTTTTGAAGCTTCCCTCCCGGAAGGATTCCTTCTTGGAATACCTCAAATTGCACATCTCCTTGGGGAATTGTTCTCGGTTGCAGATGTCTGGAAAGTCCAGAATATTTAAGTTTTATTCAGTAGCACCCATCAAATAAACAGTGTGGTAATACTCTTGATTTTTCTACTTCTTTAAAGACTTTTCCTTCCTACTTAAATCAAAATACTTGAAATCCTCAACAGCTCAGGTGAAAATATTTGGAGTTTTCCCTTCCTCTTGGAAAATTTGTATTTGTGATAGGATTTTTTTCTAGTTCTTTACAGACTCCCTTGAGTATTGATTTGATTTGTTTCATATTCTAATTATTTATATATGCCCTGCTAATCCTTATGTTGTACATTGTCTTTGTCAAGGATAGCCAAATAAACCAAGCAAAGTAACGCAAAACTGCACTCCCAGGTAAAAGCAAAAATATCTCAAGTTCAAAGTTATCTTGGACAAATATCTTTTTTATTTCTTGTTTTTGTTTCTAACAAATTTATAATGTACCATGTGATTTTTTTTGTTTCTTTCTTTGTTCATCCCCCATGGTATAACCCTTGTTTTCTCTGTATTTGAGGTCGGTGTCCTGCATCTTGTATATACACTTCTCTAATTTGGGGAGGGGAAGGGAAAAAACAAAATGCTTAAATAAGGATCCAGGTTGATCCATTGTAACAACGAGATGTACACTATGTTGAAAATGAACTTTACAACTTCGGCGAGGGTAGTTGTGAGGGTTGGAGGGAAGGAATTGTAGGGGGAAAACAATGGAGGAGGCAACAATGCTCAATAGGAAATGTACTCATTACCTTGCTCATGTTACTGTAACCCTTCTGTACACTATTTTTGCAATAAAAAACTTACAAAAAAAGTTATCTTAGGCTGCATAGACAAGTCCTTTTTTTAAGGTAGCTAAATATTATCAATCTCCCACAGTGATTTTAGCTTTTAAGTGGCACCCTACCAAAACCTCTTAACCAACCTACATCAATATTATCCTTGAAGATTTTGAGACATATTGGGAACTAAAGAGATAATATTTAGGTACAGCAATGTGTGTGATGTCTTACATTGAAGAAACATTTATTCAGCTCTCCCCCAGATATGGTCTATAGCTAAGGAAGAGATCCAAAGTCTCTGGCCAACAATTAGACACAAATTCATGACCTTGATCACACACTCTGGGCTGCTGACCAGGTGAGCTCCCCAGGTAGGTTACTACAGCACACTGGGAGCCAAGATTCAGATTCAAGATTTCAGGGAAGGTTCATGAACACATTGGCAGTATGTGCAGGCTCTTCTGTGTGTTTTCCTAAGGGGATGGTTTACATTTCCATTACCATCTTTAAAAAGGGAATAACTTGGAAAAGTAAATGATTAATGTTGCGTTTAGTAAAGTAGTTCTGAAGAAAGTCTTTTTCCCCCCAGAGGAACATTTCTGTAATCTAACAGATTTAAGTGTTCTATGCTATTGTGGGAGGGGACAATTTAAGACTGCCTGTGGCCCATGCCTGTAATCCTAGCCACTCAGAAGCCTAAGATCTGTTCAAAGCCAGTCCAGAGAGAAATGTCTGTGAGACCCTATCTCCAATAAACTACTCAGAAAACCCCAGAAGTGGTGCAGTGGCTCAAGTGGTAGGGTGCTAACCTTGAGCACAAAGAGGCTCAGAAACAGAGCCCAGGCCCTGAATTCAAGCCCAGGACCAGGAAGGGGGAAAAGAACTAAATATTTAACATTTATTCCTTCGATGTGTTTTAATTTAACTAGTGAAGTTTCATAATTTTATTCCTTTTACATCACATGAAAATATCAAATTATCGTTTTTGAACTTTAGGTAACCAATTCACTGTCCAGCTGCAGATAATGATTCAATCAACTTGAGATCAAACCTATTTGGAAGTAAAGTATAATTTTTACTGTCTATTCACAGATTCAACCAGCCAATCAGGGCCACAAATATTTGGAAAACAAATAAATTGCATCTCTTCTGAGCATGGAGACTTTCCCCCTCATTAGTTATTCCTTACACAACTAGAGCTAACAACTGTCTACCTAACATTGACATTGAAGTAGGTATTCCAAGCCACCAGGAGAGGCTATGACATATACCAGAGGCTGGCCATGGACCAAGTGCAAATCCTATGCCATTTTATACAGGAGACTTGAGCATCTGCAGAGTGTTGTATGCACTTGGGTCTTGGAAGCAACCATGCTTCTATATTAAGGAACAACTATGATTTTTGTGGTATGAAGGATTTCCCTCTATTCCATAAGCACGGTTTCCAAAACCTTCTTGAGCAATCCAATCTGTTAGCATTTTCCTCCCCTCGCAGTCATGTTAAGGTAGCCAAACCTTAGCTGTATTCTTTACTAGAAAAAGGCTAAACTCTTCCTAATGCTACTTGAGGGCTTATTTATTAACTGTAGGACAATACATTCTGTAGGTAAGATAAAAGCATGCGGTCCCAACCTGCCATGGGGAGGCACACATTTCAGTCTCTCCCACCTTCAGAGCAGTAGAGTGTATTTAAGGCTGGGTTGTGTATATGCTCCAAACTTTTACCATATTTTGGGTGTAAATGTCATCAGATGTGTTCACTGTGGATTCTTTTAAACTCTAGGTTACTTCGTGGAATAAACTCTTACAGAACAAGACAGAAAAAGTAAGTCATGTGGCCTTCAGATTTAGACATGCGGAGAAATGCAGCCATCTGACATGGTCATGAACCCCAAACAAGTCTTCCTCTCTGTGCTGCTATTTGGAGTGGCAGGCCTCCTCCTCTTCATGTACCTGCAAGTCTGGATTGAAGAGCAGCATACAGGTAACACATGGGCTTTCTTTTTCTCTTTGAGCAAAAGTAAAATAATGATGGGTGGCACTTTAAAATTAGCTAAGCTGGATGTGCACAGGTGTGTGGAATACCAAACCTGTTTTATTATCAATGACAAAATTAAGCTATAAAATATAATTCCCAATTCCTACAAATAAAAAATATGTACATATTTTTAAAAACCTTGGTGTTTTATTACATCATGAGGAGCAAAAGGGCTCCTCTAGCCCAGCCAGGTGTCTTTTAGAAAATTTGTCTACAAAAGTACAGCATTGAGTTTATCTCTAATTTTCCAACCAAACATCAAGCATAAGATTTAAAGAAACAGCTCTTAAATCTTTTCATTCTTTCTTAGTGTTGTGTTGATACTCTAAGCTGACATGGAAAGTCTTTAATACATTTATATAATGCAGGAAGTGACAAACATTTCTGATACAATACCAGATGGCAAATAGTTTAAACTTTGTAGATTACATTTCTATCATAACTACTGCATCCTACCAGTATATCACAAAAGAAGCTGTAGACAAAAAGTGAACAATGGCGTAGGTTGTATTTTAATAAAACTGGGCTGAATTTGTCTACCGAAAATAGTTCAATGATGTTTTAGCCATAGAGGTCCTTCTCTTCTTTAGTTAACTCCTAAGTATTTTACTTTTTGTGGGACTACATATGGCCATATAAGATGATGTTAAATGAAATGAACCCCTAGACAGGGACAAAAGAGGTTTTTTAATGTCTTGCTATTGTTTTTAACATACTTATGATGCACTATGTGATTCTCTTGTTTCTTTTGTATGTTCTTCCTCCACAGTATAACCCCTGTTTTTATTGTATCTAATTCCAGTGCCATGCATCTTGCATATACATTTTTATACCTTGGGAAGGGGAAGGGAAATAACAAAATGCTGAAATAATATAGGATGACCCATTGTAACAACGAGACGTACAAGACCCTATGTTGAAAACGAACTTGGTGAGGGGGGAGAAGTTGGGGAGGTAGGGAGGGAAGGGATGATAGGGAAAAACAAAGGAGGAGGTAACAATACTTGATAGGGAATGTACTCATTACCCATCTCATGCAACTGTAACCCCCTCTGTACTGTATTTTTACAATAAATATATATATGAAAGAAAAAAAAAGAAATAGTTCATTGATCACTACTATGCTCATCTTGTACTTTCTTTACTCAATTTACAATTGTTGTAATTGGGAGCATTCATTTGCCTTTAAAATTGATTACAGATATAATAAAAAATAATGTTGTTTAAGGAAATAGCAGAGTACATCTCAGAAATGGATTCATTCAGATGTTATGAAGTTTGTTTTCCTTTGGTATAGATAGACTATGGCTTATGAACAGTAAGGAAAATAAGGTAAAAGCTGAATTATTTAATTATCTCCAATGGTGGCCTATTTAATTTAGATAAAAGATCTTAAGACTCTATGTTAAGCAATGATTCAATGAATCAGTTACAAACACAAGTTTAAAAGTGCTTCCAGACAGGTGCTGATGGCTCATGCCAGAAATCCTAGCTACTCAGAGGGTTGAGATCTCTAAAGATATCAGTCTGAAGCTAGCCAGGGCAAGAAAGTCCATGAACCTCTTATCTCCAGTTAGCCACCAGAAAACTGGAAGTAGAGCTGTAGTGCAAAGTGGTAGAGCCTTGAGCAAAACTGCCCAGTAACAACACCCAGACCCTGAGTTCAAGCCTCACAACTGAAAAAAAAAAGTGCTTCCATTTTAAATCCCTTTCTTGATTTCCCTTCACAGATAGTTCAAATTTTTTAATTTGTACAGTAATCTTGGTGAAGCATAGCTACCTAAAATTATTTTTATAGAGAATCTGTAGCATTTAGTGGAAATGTATTATTTTCATGTGTGTGTGTCATTCCTGGGGTTTGAACTTGGTGCCAAGATGCTGTCCCCGAGATTTTTTGCTCAAGATTAGCACTCTACCATTTGAGTCACATCTCCACTTCCAGCTTTTTTCAGGTAACTTGGAGATAAGAGTCTTATGGACTCTTCTGCTTGAGATGGCATTGAACTGATATCCTAAGATCTCAGCTTCCTAACTAGCTAGGACTACAAAAATGACCACTGATGCCTAGCATGTCATTTCTTTGTAAATCAGAAAATAATTGAATAAACTGAATACATTATTTTGATATTAAGTTCGGTAGGGAAAAATCTGTCTTTTGGGTACTCTTAGAACTTTCACACCAACAAGTTTTTAAGATGAACAGAATTGGATGCTTGAAACTTCTTATAAGAATTCATGAATTTGGAAGTGAAGTTTGGATAAGTAGTATAATATCATCCTTGAGAGGAAAAAGCCAAATGAGAGTGTGAGACCCTGAATTCAAGCCCCATTCTTGGAACACACACACACACACATACATACACACACACACACACACACACACACACACACACTTCAGGAGTTTAAGATTGGAATACTTCTAAACCTCATATACATTTCACATGAGAACTTAGGTTCCAATCAAACCTTTTATTTGAGGCCTTAAAGATATGACTACTTCTAAAACCCCTTTGGTTTTTCTGCACTTTTTCCATTAAAATAAATTATAATTCCAAAGTAAATCCCAAATATGCATGTCATGTCAGTAGAAGATTATAAAGATATATTCTTTTAAAAATGAAAAATGAAAAATGTATGAAGGAGAAAAATGAGCTATATAGCACCTCTCATTCTCAATATGTAATAATTAAAGAATCTATTTCTTTGTTCCTCATGCATAAAATCAGCATTTTACTTTAAAACCCTGCTTTTAGTTGGTAAGAGTGCAGGCTTTCCATCCTGAAGGACCATGAAGAGCTCATTGCCCTACTTGTTAGCCCTGCCATACACAGCAGTGTGGAGCCCTTCTGAGGCTCAGGTTTTCATCTATAGAATGAGAATAAGGACGTTCCCCACACAGGGCTGCAGGGAAGATTAAGGGAAGCAGTGCTTGCAAAGCACTCAGTGTGGTGCCTGGCAATCACAAAGACCAAAACCTATTATTACTAGCCTAGAAATGAGACAGCACACTTATTCTGAGTGGTCATGATAAAACTCAGCCACAATCCAACACGACTGAACTGTGCCCAGTACTGTGTCCCAACTGTTTTAGGACAAAGAAACAGGCTTCATTCCAGCTTGTGTTAGAGGAGTTGGAGGAATTTAACTGGCACAGAGCCAACCTGACTCCCAATGTTGACACCAGAAGGACAATGATAGGATTAGGGGTCATTGTGGAGCAGCATCTCACCACCTCCAAGGTCAGGTAAACTGCTTTGCAAGTCTTGAGAACTTGACAATGTGAAGTGCCCAGCATTGTTTTGAATGTACAGATATAGTCATGAGCTACATTCAACTCTCTTTCTAAAAATACTGTCGTTCCAGGGGGCAGTGAGGGGAAAAAAGGGACCCTGAGCCAACGTACATACTGTATTGTGTCTGAAAGGAGACAGACCCTTCATTATGGGGCAAAATAATGAGTTAGGGCCAAGAGGAAATGTGCAATGTGTTTTCGGTGATGGAGTGTTTGACCAGATGAAAGCACCAGAAAGAGTGGAGTGGTGTGGGATGGGTGAGGGGATGCAGAGGTCAGACCAGGAGGGGCAATTGGGGTAGATGGAACAGCTCTCCTTCAGCCCAGCTTCTGTTTAAATTTGCAGTTTGTACTCTTTCTCTGAGGAGAATTTTACTGCCAAATAGAACAAGTAGAAATATGCAAGGTGCCGAGCACCGGGGGCTCACACCTGTAATCCTAATTACTCAGGAGGCTGAGATCTGAGGATCATGGTTCAAAGTTAGCCCAGGCATGCAATCCTATTTGTTCAACCTTTCTTTGATTTGTTGTGTTTCTGGGTCTCTATTAAAAAAAATTTCGGCCTGTGCCAAGGAGCCCTAGAGTTTCTCCTGTTTCTTCCTGTAATGTTTTCAGGGTGTCTGCTTTGACTTCAAGGTCTTTGATCCATTTGGAGTTGATTCTGGTGCAGGGTGATATATAAGGATCTAGCTTTAGTTTTCTACAGGTGAATAACCAATTTTTCCAGCACCATTTACTGAAGAGGCTGTCTTTCTTCCATTCTGTTTTTTATAGCTTCCTTATCAGAGATTAGGTGGCTCTAGGTCTGTGGGTTCATTTCTGGGTCTTCAGTTCTATTCCATTGGTCCTGAGGTCTGTTCTCGTGCCAGTACCAAGCTGTTTTCATTACTATGGCTTTATAGTAGAGTTTGAAATTTGATATTGATATTCCTGCAGCACTGTTCTTTCTGTTAAGGATCGTTTTTGCTATTCGGGGTCTTTTATTGTTCCATATGAACCTTTGGGTTGCTTCTTCTATTTCATTGAAGAATGAGGTTGAGATATTGATAGGTGTCACATTGAATTTGTAGATAACCTTTGGCAATACTGCTGTTTTCACAATGTTAATCCTCCCAATCCAGGAACATGGGAGGTATTTCCACTTCCTTAGTTCTGCTTTAATTTCCTTTTTCAAGTTTTTAAAATTTTCATCATAGAGGTCCTTCACTTCTTAAGTTACGTCCTAGATATTTTATGTTTTGTGGGGCTATTATTAAAGGAGTTGCTTTCCTGATTTCAGCCATGTTATTCTCGTTATTGGAATACAGAAAAGCAATTGATTTTTGAGGGTTAATTTTATACCCTGCTACATTGCCAAAGTTTTAGATCAGCTCAAGTAACTTGGGAGTGGAGTCCATGGAGTTCTTTAAATATAAGATCATGTCATCTGCAAAGAGGGAAAGTTTTACTTCATCTCTCCCTATTTGGATCCCCTTTATGTTTGCATCTTGTCTTATTGCTTTAGCTAGGCATTCTAATAGTAAATCATGTAACTCTTATCTATACATAAGAAGACAAAAGCTGAGATGTCCCCCTGACTATCTGAGTCTCAGATTTTAAAGAATTTGAACATCCTCTAGAACAGTGCCTGCTATGGTTTGAATATCCATACCAA